TTATATAAATGAGTCTTGTACAATAAAACTTTCTAACTGCTCTGAAGCATCAGAGTCACTTGAATCATTATTTTGTGGTGGTACGTATTGTTCATCGACTGACTCATTATTTTCTGCAAATTCAGATTCACCTCCTGTATTTTCACAATTGAACGAATGTTTCATATTCTAGATAACAAGAGTCAGCATAACCTAATAAACGCTCAATAAACAAAATACTTTCAAGGAACAAACAGTATGTAACAAAATACCTTCTAGGAATAAACGTACATAAACATAATTTTATCTATCCGACAGAAAGTTAAAAGAAATCGTCAAATTTCCGAGAAAATGATAATAATTAATACAGGGCCAGTTTGGCCCCTTCAAACTTCTATGGTAGGTTTGTTAGAAAATCCATTTAATAAATTTAGTAAACAATATTTTTTTGCGTTAAATAGACTTTGTATCAAAATATTAAAAGTCATAAAATATGAAATTATTATTGTGTCAAATAATAGAACTACAATAACTTCAAATTGCAACAGGAGCCAAATTGGCCCCTACGACTTTCTAGTGTTACAATATAATATTACAAAAAAAAAACTTAATACTCGACGTAATAGATGTCTTGATAATGTTTTGCAAATATTGATGGTACCACAAAATCTGTGGATCTCACTCACACATCTGACCACAAAGGTATTTCCTTTCAGATAGCTTACTCTTTCACAAATCGTGCAACCAGAATTTACTATAGACCAATCACAGATACAGAACTCTTCAATTTGAACCAGATTTTGCAAAATTGACAACTTTAATTTTGTATACAATGATAATTTGGATATTAATTTAAAATTTAAATGCTAATTGATGTGTTATTAAATTTCATATATATCTCTTGTCCAGAAAAATCGAAATTGCTGAATAAAAATAATCCTGGTAAAAAAAATAAACTGGTTCAATGACACATTGAGAAAAATGTGTGAGTAACTTTACTTATTATAGCAATAAATAGAAACGATCCCATTGCTACACCTAGAAGTACCATTATAAAACTTAGAAAAGAGTACAGGGAAGCCATCAGGTTTGCAAAAATTAATGCAAATTATAGATTTATAAAAAATTCTGGCAACTCTCAACAAGCTGTGTAGATACTTTTATGGTTTGTAGATACTTTTATGATTTAGCTATTAATGGTAACAAACATAAAAATGGTTTCACTGATAATTCTAAACTCAAGGCAGATAATTTTAATAGACTTCTGCTCAACTGCTGAGAGGGTAATAAATGAACTTGAGATTCCTCAGATAACTCTTGTTAACTATTTAAAGTGTATACCACAAGAAAATATCCCATGTTTTAATTTTCAGCCAGTGAACTTTAGTGAAATTGACTAAGCTATGTCAGAAATAAAAAATAGTAACAGCAAAGATCCTGATGGATTTAACAAAAAAACTCTAACAACTTTAATAAACCAATCAATATCTTGTAGTACTTATCCTCAAGTCTTCAAAACTGCAAAAGTAGTACCTCTGTTTAAAAATATAGGCTCTATTAATGACTACAACATTTTTTTGTTGCCCATCTTTTAGTTTAGGTTTAAGTTTATGAACGAATTTAAAAAAATCAAATTAATCTCTGTTTTAAATCTAGTAAACTGTTTGCCATAAACCAGTACGGATTCTGAAAAAAAAAACTTTAGAAATTGATTATTTCACTAGCAAAATTTTGAAAGGGTATGAAAAATATCTTGATACTCTTGCATCGTTTTTAGATCTTACTAAGGCTTTCGATTGTGTCAAACATAGTATTCTGCTCAGAAAACTTTCTTAATATAATTTTCATAGTGATGCTAATTGATTCATATCTATTAATACGTTCACTTCAACCAGTGTAATTCTCCAAAACAATCTCTGTTGTTTGGTGTCCCTCAAGTCTCTGTTTTGGCTCCAGTATTATTTCTTATCTATATTAATGATCTAGTGTACTCTCAAAATGAAATAGTTAACACTGTTTTATTTGCTAATGACACTACTTTCTATGTAAGCTATCACCTTTCTGAATTCTACACACTTATACCAAAAATCTGAAAAAACTTATTCAATTGGTTTTTAACTAACCGTCTGTCTTTGAACAACTTTAAATCACAAAGTGTTAATTTTCATCAGTTTAAGGCAAAAATAAAGACTTACCTTATGGTGAACGATGAGTTACCTTATGGAAGATGGAATAAAGAAATTGGCCGCTGGAGACCATATACTGCAAAAAGGTCAAGAGGTCGACCGCAAATGAGATGGAAAAATGACATTGAGCAAAGAGCAGGTCTAATGTGGAAAAGACAAACAGAAGACAGAGACAAATGGAGACAAATGAAAGAGGCCTATCTTCAACACATGAATAGATTTTGGGCTATAGATAGATAGATAGTTGTATACAGGATCGGACTTACATACTGATACATTTTATCAAAATTACGGTGAGAAGATTATGGTGAATGCCTTTTTACATATGAGGAGTATTTTACTTCCAATTTTAATTTGTTGTAATTGTTCACAATATAAGTTAAAATAATGTATCTATGTTTTATGTTTTATATTTATATTTATGTGTATATTAACTATATTGACATATATTTTTTTTATCTTTGACTTGTAAAAAATACGTTGGGTTCATTTCTTACCAATAAACCATCTATCTATTTATCATTATTTACAAGGTATAATGTCATTTTTGCAAAAATATTCAGTGACCAGTTTCAAACACTTTAAAATCATTTGGTGTCCAGCAATGTGTTAAAAAACAAAAAAAAAAATAAGTAAATCAGAATTTAATTCTTACAGAAATATGAAGACTGAGAAAGACCTCCCGAGAATAAGCGCACAACCTTAAACCGACCAGTCTTGATTATGTGTGGATGATTTTTATGTAGTCTATACACTATCACGATCTTTGCCTTTGATATTATGTTTAAACTACAGACCAAATATTTGACTTCGTTTTTAACCAGTCGTATAAGATCAATAAATTTTTCCTGAAAGAAGGGCTGTGTCATCTGCAAAGCGCAGATTGTTTAATATTTGGCCATTTATTGAAATGCGCTCCTCCATAATATGCTCCCATACATGTTTAAATAAGTGTGGAGATAGTATGCATTCTTATCTGACACCTTATTCTGGATGCAATTTAATTGCATGTGTATCAACTGTTCCAATAGAGTATTTGTATAGTTCAGTCATAAGCAAAATTAAGTGTTGTGGTACGCCTACTTCTTTTAGTATCTGCTGTAAGTCTCCATTTAACCCTTTCGAATGCTTTGCGATAATCTATAAAACCAATTGAGGGTGAGTGTATTGAATTTCCTAGATTTTTCTATTTTATGTCTTATGTTTAGGTGTGTCCAAGTATTTCTACCTTTGGCAAATCCAGTTTGAATTTGAGGTATTTCTCTTTGTAGGAAAGTTCTTAGTTTTTCATTGAATATGTGTAGCATTCTCTGGCATGTGCAATAAAGGAGGTAGTTATATCTACAATGTTGCATTTAGGAAAGCTGCCCTTTTTATGTATTGTCATTATTGTAAATATTGTCTAGGTATCAGGTTATGACCCAAATTTTGTTCCGGTTTCTTTTGTGGTTTTAAACATTTCTGCTGTTATTATATCTGGACTTAGTGCTTTGTTATTCTTAAGTTTATAATATATTGTTAGTCTAATTTCATTCTCAAGTATATTAGGTTCTTCTTCAATTTTTTCAGGGTTTTGGTTAACACGTTCGTGACATTGATTATCTTTATGTAGATCCCGACAATATAATCCCATGTCTCTGCTATATTTTCTCTCTATCTTCTATTAGTTTTCAGAGAAATAAGAAATGTAAAATAAGGTGTAAATGTAATATTGATATAAACAGATACAATATGCTTAAACAGATACAATATATCAGAAACTCCAAGGAAGAAAACCTCAGTGGGTTGGATATGTAATGACAAAAACAAATGAGCTATGGTAAAAAGTATTATTGTAAATTCTAAAGCAGTAACGAAAAGAGACAGATCTTCATCATACTTGAAACAAAGAAATCAATTTAGCTATAAAGGAGTCAAGTGTAAATGAGGAGTAATTGGAGGGAGAGGAGGACATGAAAATTGGAATACTGTCTGTATACACATAATATTATTTAATACTTTTTTCCTTAAAACAATTATTAAGTAAGATGTTATTAATAATAATTTATTTGTACAAAATATTAGGTCAAAATCATTTTAAAAATCATGCCACTCTTGTGTGATTTAGTGCTTTGTTATTCTTAAGTTTATAATATATTGTTAGTCTAATTTCATTCTCAAGTATATTAGGTTCTTCTTCAATTTTTTCAGGGGTTTGGTTAACACGTTCGTGACATTGATTATCTTTATGTAGATCCCGACAATATAATCCCCATGTCTCTGCTATATTTTCTCTCTATCTTCTATTAGTTTTCAGAGAATAAGAAATGTAAAATAAGGTGTAAATGTAATATTGATATAAACAGATACAATATGCTTTAACAGATACAATATATCAGAAACTCCAAGGAAGAAAACCTCAGTGGGTTGGATATGTAATGACAAAAACAAATGAGCTATGGTAAAAAGTATTATTGTAAATTCTAAAGCAGTAACGAAAAGAGAGATCTTCATCATACTTGAAACAAAGAAATCAATTTAGCTATAAAGGAGTCAAGTGTAAATGAGGAGTAATTGGAGGGAGAGGAGGACATGAAAATTGGAATACTGTCTGTATACACATAATATTATTTAATACTTTTTTCCTTAAAACAATTATTAAGTAAGATGTTATTAATAATAATTTATTTGTACAAAATATTAGGTCAAAATCATTTTAAAAATCATGCCACTCTTGTGTGATTTACGGATGTGCCATTTTGTATTCCTTCGGCCACACAATACTCTCAATCCAGTCAACGTAATAAGAAACCCTCGTGTATATCGATGGAGTTCGAGTGATACCGCATGCCTTACCAAACGAGGTGATTCCAACTATTCTAAAACCTTTTCCATTACTATATTTGTAGTTATTTTTGACTTGAAGAGGTCCTCCTGAATCTCCCTAAAAACATAAAAGACTTTGGATAAATACAACTAACGGTTTATATATTTACGAAAGTAAGGACAGAAAATAAAAAGGTGTTTTTACAATACTGCCCAACTAAGGAAAAATGCCGTAAGTCAAAAAATATTGAATATTGAGTTATATATGGTTTCCTATATATTCAACCATGCATAATTCAATGGGCTACTCAAAATTGTGGTATCTCCAACAGTGATCGAGGTATAAAATAATTTTTTGCAGTAAGTGTATCAAAGTTTTAAAATAATAAGCAAGACTGCCGTTACTACAATAGAATAACCCAGAATGTAGTAACTCTTTTGTACATACCTGATTTATGTTTAGTACACTGTACTTAATGCAGTGTTGCTTAGTGGTTATTTAAACAGCTGATATACTGACTGCATTTATGTTTAGTATACTGTACTTACTGCAGTCTTTCTTAGTGGTTATTTAAACAGCTGATGTACTTACTGCATTGTATTTATGTTGACCCTAAATTGTGAGGTTATGTTTCTAACATATAAGTTTGCTAAAAATTTGCTGTGTTCAGTTTAGACTATTATAAGCCAATATTTGTGTTGTTGAAGTGGTTCAGAAAGTATATAAATTACATTTAGTTAATTATTGTTTTGGAATATGAGTTTTTTAAAGTTTAATACAGTCACAACTCGTTCTGAATTTATTGGAAACTTAGCTCTAAAAAGCACCAAGACTAACACAACAGTTGTACAAGATGAGAAATCATAGCAAATTTTACCTACAAAATGTCCTTCCAGTGATTTATTAGAAGCTAATGAAGAACCTCAACCATCTAGCTGCACTATAACGTTGTCAGATGATGTTGGAGATGTGAGATTACCTGATATAACTCAACAGATATCAGACAGCCCTAATATTAGTTTATGACTTTAGTGAAAATACACTGATATTAAGTTCACTGGAAGAATTTGATGTTGATAAATCTATTTATTTAGAATCACATACTTACTAACAAGTTGTAGAAGTACCTGAAGTACTATTTGAAAATGTATTTACAAATGTGGTCCAACCAAATAATGATAATATAAACTTGAGAGAAGATTTAGGTGTTCCAGCTGCTATTGTTGATTTTCTGATAACTGCAAATGAAAATAGTAAACAAACGAATGTATATTGTAATGACAATGCAGACCAACATATTGACAATATCGTCGTAGAAAATCAATCACAAAAAAAAGAAAATCCCCCTATCACAAAGAAAAGAAAAAAGTTTGAAACCAGTCTGGAAGAAACAAAAAAACCTAAAGATAAAGAAATAAAAATATCTCATGCAATAAAACACAACATCATCATTTTGGCTTTACAATACTGTCTAGGTCCTAGCGTCCCCAAGAATTTTTTTTCCAGTCGTCCCTATCCATCGCCTTCTTCCACCAAGCACGTATTTCCATATTTCTCATATCTTGGTCTATGTTATCTAGAAATCTTGTTCTGGGTCTTCCTCTTTTTCTTTGACCAATAGGTTTATCAAGGAGCGTTTTTCTAGCTGGGTCAGTTTGCTCCATCCGCATTACAGGGCCTACCCACCTCAGACGTCCTATCTTAATGTGTTTTACGATATCTGGTTTCTGGTATATTCTATAGAGTTCGAAGTTGTAGGTTGAAGTTGCAGTAAAACACATACCATGTAAAAACGCTGATGCTTTTTGCAAAAAAAAGTGTGGACAGAAAATTATTGCAGAACGAAGAGAGTTTATAAACAAAAAGAAGATTAAGAAAAATAATGACAGGTTTGTACATTATACACTCACAAATACTCCTTAAGGTGCTTTAACTCCACCTTGTGATACGAGAGGAAGACAGCCATAAAAAAATAAAGGACCTCATCACTTAATTATCGAACACATCGAATCATTTTATCCCACGATTTCCCATTATAGACGGGACCATGCTCCAAATGTGCATTACCTTCCAGGTGATGTTAATGTAGCACTTATGCTCAGTAAATTCGTCAAAAAATTTTCCGAGTTTAAAGGGAAAGTATCATATGATTCATACAGGCAAATCGTTAAAGAGCAACATATATTATTCGCACAACTAGGACATGAGGAGTGCGAAAAGTGTGAGCAGTTTAAACTTCATGCCCACAAAAAAGAGAATGTTGACATATCGTGTGATATGTGTAAACAACGGAAAGTTCATAACGAATTAGTTATAGAAGCTAGAAATGCATATTAGCTTTTCTGAATAGGAAAGTTGAATGTTGATGAATGAATGTTGTTTTTATAACAACACAGAGATATTGAAAAAAATAGTTATTTGGTTATACAACTGCTCTTTCCAAAACAAAAATTGGTGCCTTTACACATTTGTAGTTATATAATAAACTCTAATGACATTGCAGCTAATGAAATAGTTTTAATAAACTATTACCAACCTGGTCATTCATTCATGAGTGCAGACAGTTGTCACCCTTAAGTAGAACAATCATTAAAGGCTCAAAAGAAAACTTACGATTTTGAAGATTTTGTTAATGAAGTGAAAAAATCCAAATCTGGAAATGTTTGTATTTAAGTGACATAGTTAATATTAAAGATGAACGAGGTAGTTATCAATAATTGTGCAAGACAAACTATAATGTAATGAGTCTCTACCAACAACTGGACTTTTTACAAAAAAAAAATCAATGAAAGGCATTATACTGCCCAGCCATCTCACTGCACCATGTGAATTTCCAGAAGATAAGAAGAAAAATATCCTTCAGTCATTAAAAGACGTACTGTCAGAAAATTGAAAACAATTTTGGAAAGACTCGCCCACAAACATCTTAGCCAAATACTTACGTAAAAGTATTAGTTATATTTTTTAGAAAATATGTTAAGGTAATCCATTAATACAACTGTACAGGGTGAGTCATAACTATTGGGACATAGACTAAGGACAGGTTAGTTGGACCAAAATATGGCTATTGGGCCAAATATGCCTTAATAAAATGTTGTTGAGAAAAAAGATACAGGGTGTTAAAGTGGAAATTTAAAATTTTATTTTTGGCTATAAACTTTCATGTTTGTAAATATTTATGTATAAAAATTTACAGCTGGCTACTATTGAATATCAGAAATTATAATTTGATGCATACTTTAATATATCTAATAGAGGGCGCCACATATGCCACATACGTGGCATACTTTTACACTTCACTTTTTTGTTCTTCAAGTTATTGGTATTCTTGATAAAAACTATTAAAGATACATTATTTAAACAAAAAAAAGGTATACGTGTTAATAACTTTAAAACTCAACAGTTTTCGAGATAATCGCATTTTACAAATTAACTACTTAATTCTGATTTAATGCAATTACTCCAGGCAATGAAAGAAAAATGGATAAAAACATCAATACTTCTGAATTTTGTTATAAAATACCTTTAATAAAGTCAATAGTTAACGAAATATTAAATAAAATAAATATATCAGCAGGATAAATAATAATAGGATTTGATAAAATAACAGAATAATTGGATTTTACATTAAACATTTTACGTTTTGTATTAAATTAAAGTCATAATTAAATCATTTTATTTACAAATCAAATTAAAAAATAGTTTAAACTAAATAACATTAAACTTTTTATCAAAGTCAGTGTTCGATATGTCCACCATTTTTTTTTAATTCATTTGTCAATACATTCCATAAAATATCGTCTCATATTAAATACCATCATTAGTTCTAAAGAAACTACTGCAGTATTTATTATAGTTGTTTTAAGTATAATAATTAGTAATTTTTTGAAATTTTTATGAATAAAATAATTATTATTATCTCACCACAAGAATATGACTACCACGAACAATCCAACGTTCAGGAAAGTGTATTTAAATACTGTCTCACTCCGCTTTCTCTGTAATGTAATGGTCTACCATCTTGTACAAACCTCATATTTTGCCTTAAGTTTGATGAGAATTCTTCCAATAAATCAATAAAATCATTTTATAAAAAATGCAGATAAATCTCACCCATTTAAATTGAAAGGTAATTCGCATATCTGTAAAATATCATTCAAAATTCATATTTAAAATTCACTCCCATGGTTTGGAACCATTGATAATTATTTTTTTCGGATAAGCGAATTACCTTGCAATTTGAATGTCGAGATTGATTTACATTTTTATTAAATTATTTTATTGATTTATTGGAAGAATTGTTATCAAACTTAAGGCAAAATATGTGGTTTGTACAAGATGGTTCACCATTACATTACAGTGAAAGCGGAGTAAGACAGTATTTAAATACACTTTTCTGAACGTTGGATTGTTCGTGGTAATCATATTCTTGTGGTGAGATAATAATAATTGTTTTAATTCATAAAAATTTCAAAAAATTACTAATTATTATACTTAAAACAACTATAATCAATACTGCAGCAGGTTCTTTAGAACCAATGATGCTATTTAATATGAGATGATATTTTATGGAATGTATTGACAAATGAATTAAAAAAAATGGTAGACATATCAAACACTTACTTTGACAAAAAGTTTAATGTTATTTAGTTTATCTATTTTTAAATTTGGTTTGTAAATAAAATGTTTTGATTATGACTTTAATTTAATACAAAACGTAAAATGTTTGATGTAAAATCCAATTATTCTGTTATTTTATCAAATCCTATTATTAATTTTCCTGCTGGTATATTTATTTTTATTTAATATTTCTTTAACTATTGACTTTATTAAAGGTATTTTATAACCAAAATTCAGAAGTATTAATGTTTTTATCTATTATTTCTTTCATTGCCTGGAGTAATTGCGTTAAATCAGAATTATGCAGTTGATTTGTAAAATGCGATTATCTCGAAAACTATTGAGTTTTGAAGTTATTAACAAGAATACCTTTTTTTGTTAAAATAATGTCTCTTCAATATTTTGTATCAAGAATACCGGTAATTTAAAGAACAAAAAAGTTAAGTGTAAATGTATGCCACGTATGTGGCATATATGGCGACCTCTATTAGATATATATTAAAGTATGCATCAAATTATACTTTCCGATATTCAATAGTACCCAGCTGTAAATTTTTTATACATAAATGTTTACAAACATGAAAGTTATAGCCAAAAATAAAATTTTAAATTTCCACTTTAACACCCTGTATCTTTTTTCTCAGCAACATTTTATTAAGGTATATTTGACCCAATGGCTATATTTTGGTCCAGATAACCTGTCCTTAGTCTATGTCCCAATAGTTATGACTCACGCTGTATATTAAGTTTATTTTTCATACATTAGTAGATCATAAAATATCTAAATGCTGTGTTCTTTCAACAAAGTATTAAAAATGTAAAGCAGTACATACGGCAAATATAGCCATTCACATTACTAAGAAAGAGTGCCGTATGTACGACACCATTTTATATTTTCAACTTTTTTTTGCATTAAAAAATAGAATTATAGAATAAAAATTTTCATTTGTGTTTAACATAAATGTAATTGAAGAATAAACAATTAATAACCAAATATTTTAATATTAAAATTACAGCATCCTTCTAAACTCTATGTCGAGTTTTCCTCAAAATCCTACTATTTTTACTTACGGCACTTTTGGTTAGCTGGACAGAATACAGAATACAACAAACACAACGGTATTCACCCACTATAACAAATCAAAAATGTAACGAGTATTTTGGTCGGACAAAAAAAGGTAACACTAACTGAGCTTCCCAAAACAGATGGAACACGAGTTTTATGAAACACAAAAAGGAAATATGAAAAATGATCAGAGGAAAAAGAAAATAGATAATGGAACCAATAACAACATTCAGAAGAAACCATGGGCAAACTACTTTCAATCACTATTGGCTAAAGCTGACGATAATGAACCACCAACACTAGAAGTGACGACACACGAAGAATTAATAATTATTGAGGAGAAAGAGGTAGAATTAAGAAAATTACTAAACAACTGTTAAAACTAATCAAAAAAATAATAGAACAAAAAAGAATACTACACGAATGGAAATCAGGCATCATAATACCTCTCTTTAGAAAGCAAGACCTATCAAACCCGGAAAATTATAGAGAAATTAATTTATTAAACACAACACTAAAATTAACAGCCAAAGTAAAAACAAATAAACTGACTTAAATTATAACACTAGCAGAAGAAAAATAAGGTTTTGTTATATTTATAATGAGGCAAGTGCAAGAGAACAGAGAACTCATTAAAATATCTATAAATTAAAGAACGTTATTCACTTTTTTTGTACAAGAGAGTTATAATCTCCTCTCCACTCCTCTAGGAATAAACAAAAGAGATCGAAAATATCTACTAAAACAACACAATAAAAGTAAAAGTACAAGAAGAACTAACTGACCCAATTTAAACTAGTGATATGATAAGACAGGGATATTCCCTGAGTCTTCTATTGTTTAACTTGATCATGGTTGAAATAATAAAAAAAGTAACAACTAAAAAAGGATATCATCAAATAGAGAAAAATTAACAGATATTAAGGAGGTATAATTTTATCACCAAATCATGAGAGGCTGATAAAAAATTGTGATATATATGTACTATTTCCAATATTTGAAAAAATAAAAATCAGTAACGACAAATACATATTATTGGTTTATAAATTTAAGATAATAATAAATTTAAGATTATCAGGGAATAAATGTAAAATTAGGACATGTACAAATTACAACAAATTTATGGCATTACAGAAGTACGATGTTGGAATAATATTCTAAACAATTTTACTTACTAGTATTAAAATATTTTATTATCACAAAACGTTTTTTATTGAAGGTATATAAAGTACTTACTTCACATGTATCTACTCCTATTTCTCCTCCAGCACAGATCATCGTATCACCATCAACGCCCTGCGACAGGACCGACCTTTTTACGTCGTTATATAATCTATTGCATTTGTCTGTATCCACTTCATTTAAACGAACTTGAAGCAAAAAGCTACTTTGCTCTTCAGCAAATCCTACTTTACCCCATCCAGAAGCAGTCATATTGTCATATGAATCTAAAATAAAAAATACTCTACATGTAACTTTAAATTGCAGCCTCTTACCGTGATCCATCACTAGTAGTCAACGAATTCTCTGAAGTAATTACTTACTTAATCATAGAAAAATTCAAATAAGGAACAAACGAGGTAACAGATTGTTTTGCTGAGAGTAACAAATTAGTTAATTACTTTTAAATGGAGGAATGTACCTTACGTATGTGATGAGAAAAAGTAAAAGGCAAGCGTCTGTCACCCATAAAAGAACTTGAACATATCGACTAATAGATGGAAAACTCATACAAAAAAAAACTGGTATATTGAAATGCCCTAAGGTTGCATACCACCATTCGACTTGCACCATTCATAAGGAACTAGATTACTAGTAGTAAACTTAGAACATTGATACCCTATATGCTTAAAGGCGTTGTTGCTCAGTCGTAGTAGATTATGAGCAAGGTCGTTTATAGAGGTAAAAAACGCAAGAACGATAGACATAAAATAAAAAAAAAGATCAATGAAGAGAATAACTCTTAAATCTTAAATTGTTAAATACAATAGTAATGCTGAACAGAGCTTGAAATTGGTAGATTCTTAATGTATAGACTCAGTGCAGGAAGTCTAGACAGCCGAGCTGGGTCCACTACGAGGTGAAGCTGTAATAAAGTTTTTAAAAATAGGTTTAAATTTAGTACAGTTTAAATTAATTTGAGTATTAAGACAATGAGAGTTTCCATTCGTTTCCTTTGTGATCTCCAAATCTTCCAATAGATCCAACTCCAAATAGTTTTTCTTTCTACTGATGTCATGCAAAATAGACGACCCAGTATTGATGTTAAAATTGTGTTTGGTAGACTCTAAATGTTGACCAAAACTTGAAGAGTTTGGTCTTTTTAAATGTTCTGATATTCTAGTAGATAGCTTTCTAATTGTTCTGCCTACATAAGAGGCATCACAATCATCAGACTTTAATTTGTAAATACCACTTTTGTCAAGTGTGTTCAGCCTGTCTTTGGTGTTAATTAAAAAGGAACCTACAGTGTTGTGTGACTTAAAGGAAATTTTGATGTTTTCAACTGTAGAAGTAAAAAGTTTGGCTATTTTATTAGAAATGTTACTAATATAAGTAAAAGAGAAATATCTGATATTGTTAGAAGCATTTTGTTGGAGAAGACTTTGTGATGAATATGCAAGCTTTTCTGTAATTTTGAGTTTAGCTCTATTTAGAAGCTTATGGATAATGTTGGGATCATAACCATTATTTAAAGCAATTTGTTTGAGAGTGTTGAGTTCTACATTAAAGTTATCATTTGAAAGTGGAAATTTAAGTAATCTGTGAATATAACTATTGAAAGCAGCCATTTTATGTTGGGTTGGATGGTTGTATGTCTCATGTATAACATGATCTGTTTGGGTGGGCTTTCTGTAAATATTGTACTCAAGAGAATCTTTATTGCGAGATATAGTTCACTCTTCATATCTCTGCATAATCTACATATACTAATTCCACAGTTTTATATTTCAACACCTGTTGGTCGGTTGGTCTTTAGTAATGCTATTACATATTAGTTTTATAGTTCCCCCATTGGCTTGAGGTTTAACTGAACTACTTGAACTATACCCATTTACACACTGCTTTCAATTCTGATCTAATTTTAATATTCAATTTCATAGTCAATTTTCTTCTCATTTTGCAATATTGACAGTGCCTGGTAGACCATTTTATTGTAGTCAACTACCCACTGTCCAATAGATCGTTTGGTCTATTTCTTTCATTCACACTTTATGTACACTTCATTTAGCCTCAAACCTACAACCTTATTATTACAGACGGGTGTGAGTGTGAGATCTGGATTATGCAATCTAGTTTAAATCAAAATATTCTACATGTCATACGTCATCAGCTGATTTTTCAGTAGTAGTTCTAGTTGGACCTTTGGCCAATGACAACTTATACAGAATTTTAATATTTGCTGATCACAGATCCATAACTTTGACTGCCTATCAAAGTTGTCATATGTCATATGTCACCGTATCATTTCCGCTTAGATCATTATCCCTCCAGAAACTGACAGAGAATGTAGCGTAGAAGTAATTTTAAACTGTTTGTCCTCGTTTTAGTGTAGTGTTTTGTACAATTTATGTTATTTTTAATGTTTCCACATTCTACGCTTGCCGGATAGTTCTTATTTTGACGAAGTAAGTCTAAAACGTTAATCTCAAAAACTTTTTTTCATCCATTAACTTCGAGTTTTTTATCGAAGTTAACTAATTTACTTCATCTAAAAAACGTTTTCTTGGCTTATTTCAGATGCCCCTGAAGACGCTATTTTAAGCGAAAGTACTTGGGCTAGATTTAATTAACTTGTGCTCGATAATAGCCTTATTTTCAAAGTTTATTTTTATAGTTCGCACTATATTCTAGATTCTCTGGTTATGCCGTTATCACCAAAAAGAAGGAAAGAAAAGATAATTGACATCATTTAGACTTTAGACATTTAGACAACAAAATTAAAATTATATAAGTATTATGTTTGGACAACTCTGTAAAAATACCTTAGAATTAATTAATTTATGAACGAAAATTAACAATAAATTTTTTTTATTGAGTTTAATGCGTCGACAACTAATGGTCATTGGCATGGTACAGTGAATTTTTACAGTCAGGTGTGTAGTGTGTGTGTGAAGAGTAAATGTCTTGATACTTAGCAAAGTCGACGTCATTGTCTTTGCTAAGAGACGCCTAAAGGTCGATTCAGACACATCAGTCCCGTCACAGTCCCGACGCCGAACCGGTCCTGTTTGGTCACAGAACTATCAACTATCTGACAGCTGGCAAACTGTTCGTCGCCTAATGAATGTGAATGCCGGCGCCATATTTCTATTAAAGAATATTTTGTATGACGGATTGTTCGGTTCGGCGCCAGGACGGTGACGAGACGTGACTGATGTGTCTGAATCGACCTTTATTGTATCGGAACGTCTGCGGTCCCTCTGGTGAGTACCGATCGCACAAGGATAGAAATTATTTTCATTTATTAATTTTTAATAAACGAAAATTTCTCCACCCAGGTGAGATTCGAACTCACGACCTTTAGGTTCAAAGGTAGGCGCTCTTACCACTGAGCCACAGAGGAGGTTAACAATAAATCAATTCAGACATTATTTAGACAATTGTAATTTCATAAATTACAAACTTTTTGTTGAATCGCTACCAAGGATCACAAAGATACTGATGACAAGGATCAAAGTTTATTAACGGAGCATGAAATACATGCCTGATTATTAGGATAAGCTTTTTTGTGGCATAGACTTTCGTCATTCAGCCAGTCTCGAAAGGTTAGAATATATTTCTCAAGAAAGTATATACACATAAGTACAGATTATTTCTCTCAGACATATGCACAGCGATATCCCTAAAACGAAATAGACGAATAATTAATAGAATAACACGTCGAACGAAATTACAAGGACACTCGCTTCTCGTCGAGGAGTCCGTCAAAACATTTATTTTAACAGACAAATAATACTGGACCACGGATAAGGTATTGTTACATATAGGATAAACAAAGGGTACAAGTCTAACCCTATACACGCTCATGAAAGTTTTCATGAACGAGTACCAGATTTATAAAGCTATGCATGTGTCTGACAAAAACTCTATAATTAAATTATATATTGTTACAGAACCTATGGCTAACAAGGACTGTATATTATATGGGGCGTATTTAGTTAATTTTGTATACAGGATGTTTGAATGCTGAATAAATTTAGGACATTCAAAGAAGATGTGATCGAGGTCTCCTAGCTTACCGCAATGTTTGCAACTATCATCATCGATAACTTTTATTTTAAATAAATGGCATTGGTAGCATGCATGTCCAAAGCGTAGTCGATTTATAGTAGAAATATATTTACGAGGAGCTTTGAAAATCTGAATCCAGGTTGTTTGAGGTATAATTGGTTGTAAAGAGGTATACTTTTTATGGTTTGTAGAACAGTTATGTTTCCAAAAAATTTATTAAAAATCATTTGTAAAAGGTATATATTTTAAATATATACCTACCTTTTACAAAGGAGTTTTAATAAATTTTTTAATATATGGTATGCAGCCAACTACAGGAACGTAGATTCCTTGTGGAGTAATGTTTCCATTGCTCTTTCCATCTAAATTGCTGATTTTTTTTTTGAAAATCGTAGTAACATCTGATGTATTAAGCATATATATCAACGTAGAGCCAGTTGTTACACTCATTTTAGCTAAATGATTTACATATTCATTGTATTTGAGACCAATATGTGCTTTGACAAAAATAAATTTTATGTTGACTCCAGTCGATGATAGATGATACAATCGATTAATTAAAATATGTCTATTGCAGATGTTTTTAACATATTTTAGAGCTTCAAGTATAGCTATTCATTCCGCTGAGAAGATTGAAAATTCATTTGGTAGTTTATACTTGAATTCTACGTTTGTAGCAGGTAAAAAGTATGCGCATCCAGTTTCTTCTGTTGTTTTTGATGCGTCCGTGTATATTACTGTGGCTTCCCTGTAGCCCTGAAGTAGAGATCTTAGAAGATTGCTACTCATAATGGTGTTCTCACTATAAGTGGGTATTATAACCTCAGTTCTGTGGAATAAAGAGAAGTAGTCTAAGCTGTCAACTGTGTATAATTTCTTGAAAAAAATAGTATTATTCTGTAATGCCATGTGGCGGGGAAGATTTTTTCTCCCAATATTTGTTTGTAAGATCTGCCTCGTTAAGTTGACGGACGCTTGAAAATAACTGGAAGTTAATTAATAGAATTTTAAGGAGGCTTTTTCACTTAAAATTTTTTTCTATTTTCAAAGGGTAGCTTAGCAGCTTCAACATATAAGGGTTATATAGGCGTTGATCTCATAGCACCCAAACATACCCTCATAATAGAATTTTGAAAAGTGTCTATTTTCCTTAAAAGAAAAGTTGCACCATAAAGAGTTGCACCATAATCTAGAATATATCGTATATAAGCAC